ACTTTAAGGAGAGTTCTAATAATGTAACAATGAGGGCGATCTACATGTGATGTGATAGCATTAAAAAAAATTAAAAACTCTAAAATTACATCTCTCTATCATTATTAGCCATCAAAATTAGGGGTGCAACTTGGGCGGACTCAGCTCAAGCAACTCGAACTCAGCCCGAATTTTTTTAGGGCTTGAACAAGATATTTTCAAATTCGGTACGGGTTTGGGCAAAAATTCAAAAGCTTGAATTAAATTTGGACATGCTTAGGCAAAGACATCAAACAACCCGAAACCCGAATTATACATATATAGATATATAAAAATATTAAATATATATATAAATTATTACCCATCACATGATATTCAAGTAATTTAGATTATTAAATCATATTGAATATATATTATATATACAAATAACAAAAATCTTACTTTTTTCTTTATTCACACATAAATGGTAAAGACTACTATAATGGCATCTCTTTTATATTATATAAATTATTTGTTTTGATGGTGTTAATGATTTTTTATATATAAAAAAAATGTAAATAGAGTCAAATTTTAATAATTTAATAATGTAACTGCAAAAAAAAATTAAAAATACAATTCGGGCAATTCGAACAACTCGAACAATTCGAGTTTAACTCGGGTCTAACTCGGGTTAAGCTTGAACAGGCAAGCTCGGGTTACAATTCAGATTTAAACGAGAGAAAATGCATGTTTTTTGATTTGTCCATAACTTTTTTTTTTTTTTCAATCACTTGGAGCCCCCCACGTGGAGGGGAGGGTACTGAAAATTACCCCCACTGAGGATCCCTAGCATAATTGTCAGACGAGTCTAAACAAATCTCAACATAACTTGAACTGAACTCGAACTACTTCTCATCCAGACCGAAGCTGCCAAATTGCATCCTAGTCAAAATTAGTTGGAAGGCTCCAACGACTGCGCAAGTCTATATATATGACAACGTGGCGACAGCCCAAACCTATCTGTCAAGTGGAAAAATGGATCCGACGAATGGTTATCGATATACTTTCTTTCTTTTTTTGTTTTAAAAGTCCGAGGGGCAAAAAAATTTGTTTAGCAAATTTATATAGATTTTTTTTTTTAATTGATTAAGAGGGTAATTATAAGTATAAAAAATATTATATTATTAAACAGACTATTTAACCTATAATATTTAGAAAGTTAACAAAGATAACCACTTCACTTAAGGATAGCAAATTTATTTGATTTGATAATATTTGTTCTAATCCAATTTTAAGAAACAAAGTCAACCGATCTTCACTACTATTTACATACAATCCCATAATGTAGAAGAAATAAATATCATCATAAAGAATATCAAACTTTTTTACATAGGAGTTAACACTTCAAAGAGTGTTATACAACCATTAGGCCAAATGTCTTTATTTGATTATTGGATTAATTTTAGAGAATTCAAACCAACAATTTAAATTTCAAATTTTTGAGACAATTGTCTAAAACCTTTTCTAACTTTTTTTTTTTTGCCTGTAAGAAGAATAATAATTTGAAATAATATATTACCTTCATGTATTTATCCATCTATCGGTTTATGTGTTCACATATCTGTTCATTTGTCCACTTATTTGCTTACATATCTATCTATCTATCTAACATCATCCATGATGCCTGAATAATGATAGTAGTGTGTGAGACCAGAGAATATATGTATATATATATAATGGCAAAATTGCCTTTTAAAATAATGATTTGTACTTCTAAATGATATGTTTCACTAATTGTGTCCTTAAAACCAAGACAAATTAATTAGTGAACTTAATGTTATATATACCAGTAGTGCTAGAGACTCACAAATTGGACCCCTAAATCTATCTACAATAATGTGGCAAGGGAGATAGGCTCCACGCAAATGAATATATAACAAATCAAAAATTGACATGTATCCTGCCACATCATTATGAATCAACTTGTGGGAGATTTTTGGTGGATATTAAACATTTTCCTATATACACCCATAAACATAGACTTATCACCAATTTTTCTTTAATTTTATACTAACCAAACCAATTAGAGAATTATCCACATATTTTACACATCTTTACATATTATATTACTATCGGTCTGCATAAAAATTATGGGTATTGATTTTTGACCTCATAACCAAACAGAGAATTTAATTGGAGAGCACGCAGTAGAATAGATTAAACCAAACACTTGCATACAAGAAAGTAAGAATACCACAGTGACTCGTTCACCAGAGCCACTAGATAGCACTCCGACGATGTCAATCAACTTATCTCTCAAAGATATCAAAACAAAATAATACTAGTTCCGAACATACTTTAGACTCACGAGATGCCCTCTTTATATAATGATAAGTTGCCAACTTCCCCTACAAGTCTTATTTTATGAGACTCTATCTTTACAAGGATATCACTTATCCAAAACTTCTCCGATTTGGATTAAGATCAACTTCTTACCAAAACAGAGAGTCTGTTATCATCTAAGACTCTAGTTCTTCATTCGAACATCCTAGATTCAGATGTAGTTTGACTACACCTTGGCCAATCAAAATCACCCACGTGACACTTCAGCTAACCATCTAGGCCACGTGAACAACTCAAAATTATGTCCCCACAAAAATAATAGTATAATTCAAAAAAAAAAAGAAGTAAAAATATAAAAATAATGATAAAGAGAACTACATACATACACATGTGTTGTTCAAGTAGTAAGTGTTTTCTTTATCAAACCCATGATTTCATTTTTAAGTCTCATTCTTCTCTTAATATAATTTTTACATAAAAATTAATTGTAGGGATATTTTAAAAAAATAAAAAATATGAGATGTCAATGCTAAGAATTTCATTGGTAGTAAAAGTCTTTAAGATTTCAAATCTTAAGATGATAAGAACAAAATTTAATATAAATCGTCAAAACTAACCTTAATTATAATCCTAAAAATCCTAGAATTCTCCATCACTTTTATCATTTCTCTCTCTATGTGCTTGTGTGTGTCATTTCTATGTTTTTATATCATCTTTGTCTTTCTATATCTGGCGTTGGGTTTACATATTTTACTAGATGCCTCGACATCTATCACCACCACCTCAATCAAATTCACTGTCACTACTACCACTGTCTATGTTATTTTCACTCGAAATTATTGCCGCAACCACTGATCTTTCAGTCTTCGCCATTCTTCAACACCAAATGTGCTTTATTCAATTGAAACGATTATTGTTGTCACTAATCTGTCAAGTACTAGTTCTCTCTCTTTCTCTCTCTCTCTCTCTCTCTCTCTCTCTCTTTCTTGCATCTCGCTAAATTAGATCTGAACGTTGCTTACTTTCAATGTCATTTATTATTTTATTTTATTTCTTTATTTGCTAATTTGTATTTTATTGGTTGATAAAAATCTGAATTATTGTTGTTTATTTTATATTTTTTTTTCTTCTTACTGTTTTCTACCATATGTTGTACATGTACTTAATAAAATTAATGAAATTACTACAGTCGGTGAAATTTTACTGACTTAAACTAAAAATCAGTGAAATTTCATTGACCTTGTAAAATTTCATTGATTTTGGTCAATAAAGTTTCACCGACTTTTTTTCGTTAAGTTGATTTTATGTAATTTGACTGTTTTTGGTTAGTAAAATTCACTAAACTAGGTGAAATTTCATTTGGCTTTGATTAGTAAAATTTTGATGAATACTTTGAAGATAGTGAAAATTCAACTGACTTTCATTTTTATAAATTATAGCAATTAATTAAAAAAATGATTTTGAACTATATAATTTCATTAATTTAGTATAGTGAAATAAAATTTTATACTTGTTAACTTGGTGACTCTTTGCGTCAAATTCATACCGATGAAAATAAGAGAAATAGCAATCAGTAAAAAAGTTTTTTTTTTTTTTTTAAAAAAGTTTTTTTTTTTTTTTTTAAAATTGCATATCAATTGAAAATTTTATAAATATTAATAATTAAAATGTTAATTTTTTTTATATATTTATAAAAAGAAATTCGATAGCCCACTCACTGAACTGTATTTTCCTCCAGAAAATATGTGAATAAGGCATATTTTGAGAATAAGGTTAAAAATTAATTTTTAAATTTTTTTAAGTTACATAAAATGTTTGATTTTAATTTTTTGAAAATTGAGTTTTTTTTCGTGTTTTTTATTGTTTTTAGTGAATATTTTTTAAATTTTAAACAATTCTTTTACTTTTTTAGATGTACATTACTTAGATGTATCTAAATAGTAAATTATTAATGAAAAATATTTTAAAAAATTAATAAATACACAAAATATGAAAAATATATTGAATTTTTATATTTGTTAATATTTGTTTATATTTTTGGTATTTAATGAATTTTTTTTAAAAAAAATTTACAAATATTATACTTTCTAAGCATATTTATGTTAGGTATGTTTAAAAATTAAAAAAATTACTTAAAATATTAAAAAAAACCACTAAAAAAAAAATCAAAAACAAACAAGTTAAATTTTTTAAAAAGTAAATTCTGAAAATTGAAAGCATACCGAATGATTCATCCTTTTATTTTTTATGTGTTTTTAAAAAAAAGTAAAGAATTAATTTTTAACTTATTTTTTAAAATAGGCCTCAATTCATTTTAAAGTTTTTCTTTTCATATGTTTTTGACCATTCAAATGTTTAAGGTGTTTTTTGGCAAGTTGATTTGTGGTTAAAATAGTCACAAAAGATAAAATAAATTATTTTAATCACAATAAATAAAATATTACATTTAATTCATAATTATTATACTCTTTTCTAAAAAAAAAAGTTAAAAAAATTAAAAAATTCTTTTTAAATCAAATTTTTTAACCCAAATTAAAATAATTAAAAAAATTAAAAAGTAAAAAATTCACCTAATTTTCAAACGAAGGCTAAATCAATTTATGCTCATATCGAGTAATTCTTATGGAGAAATCCCGCCATCCAGAGTCCTTTTTCATACTTATTAACTGACGGAAAATAGATCAAACCAACAGAAAATAAAAACTAGAGAGAGAATGTAGAGAGAGAGAGAGAGAGAGAGGGGGGGGCATGAAATATATGTCTCCGAAGCTACTCTTCTTATCTGGCGTCCATTTTCAATTCTCTCTCCACTCTCCAGCTACTATAGCTTTAGAGTGAGAAACCTATAGATATTGATCATATCTATATATATATATAGAGAGAGAGAGAGAGTAGCAGAGGACGACGAGAATGGATCCGTGCCCGTTTGTTCGGCTGATAATCGAGTCGCTGGCTCTGAAACTACCTTTACGAACTAAACCGGCCGTTCAAAAGGGTTTCCCCTACAACCACGCCGTGTTATTGTACGGTCCGACTCAAGAATTTTCCCTCCCAGACCGCTCTCCTCGCACTCTCCTCCGCCACCGTCACCAACACTTCTCCGCCTTCCTCCACCACCTCCGCCGCCGGCTTCCACCTCGACGCCGCCGCCATCCGCCGCCTCTCCGGCAAGCCTTTCACCCTCCGCCTGTCGGTCTACGCTGGCCGCATGGGTCGCACGTGCGGAGTCTCGTGCGGGAAGCTACTGGGGCACGTCCACGTCAGCGTTAACCTCGACGGCGCGGAGTCGAGAGCCGCCGTGTTTCAGAATGGGTGGATGAAGCTCGGGAGTGAACAGGAGAAGCCGACGGCTCGGCTGCATTTGACGGTTCGGTCTGAACCGGACCCGAGGTTTGTGTTCCAGTTCGGTGGCGAACCGGAGTGTAGTCCGGTGGTTTTCCAGATTCAGAGGAACATCCGGCAGCCGGTTTTCAGCTGCAAGTTTAGCGCCGACCGGAACGCTAGATCACAGTGAGTTTTTATTGACACCCGGCGCATTTTATCTATTTGTCACCTACGTGCGCCAAGGTGTTGGATTGTTGTGAAGAGTCATGCTGCCAACAAAATATGAGAATGTGTTATGTTATGGATCTGAAATAATTTATCAAATTTTATAAATTATAAATAATTTAATTTTTTAAAAAATTAGATAAATTATTTGAGATTTATAACATTTTATTATGAGAAAGAGTTCTTAATAATTTCATAAAATTAATTAAGAGGATTACATAAGAAAGAGTTCTTAATAATTTCATAAAATTAATTAAGAGGATTACATAAGATATAATAAAACACTACAAATTAATCTACTAATCTGATCAGCTTTTCATGATGCGAATTATTATTATTAAAATATTTATATATAGATTAATGTTATAGTACACACCTTAAAAAAATATGTGACAATTGTGAATTTGGTTATCATAAATCTTATAATTTAATTTTATTGAGTCTCAACTAAAAAAATAAAAATTGAGTAATAATCAAATATTATAACTAAACAATCCTCATATCATAATCAAAATAATGTTATAATCAATATCACAATATGTTATAATTTAAAACACAAAAATCATAATTAAATGTACATGTGATACAGACTACAAATATATATACATATATATATATTTTAGAACATAAATTTTTTAATATTAACAACATTTCTAATATTTTCTTTACAAAACATAAATTTTTATTGATGCAAAATAATGGATTGTACTTTTAGGTAGGCAATATAATAATCAAATTTTGTGTTATATCCACATGTTTTCAAAGAATTTGTCTTCTATGAAATTGTTATCTCAATTTGAGAGAGTGTTTGAGCTTGATAGATATATTTTGAAATCAATTTTGGTAACCTGATTTGTTTTTTTTTAGGTTTGTTGGGTAAAACATTCATGCTAAAAAATTAAGATGATTGAATATATGTAACTATATGTTTGAATTATATTTATTTTTTAAAAAATAGAGGATAAATATAATTTTAAAAATAATCATTCATTTTTTTAATATAAATTTGATTATCGATATCCGGTCATCTTATTTTTTATGTGAATATTATACTTAATAAATTTTAAAAAGTAAATGGTATGAATCGAAACGAAAATTGTGATAGGTTTCACGGTTCTTTCAAATTCTCTCGTGTTGAGATTTAAATATAAGATAAACTAATACCTCATTTTTCAAGAAGTTATCGCTGTATAGGTTTTATGAAAAAAAATTTACAATAATGCTAAAACATCAAATTTTTTACTAAATAAATAATTAAATATCTAATATGTAAGTGAGATTCGTAATTTTATAAACCTCCACTTATGTTAAACATCTATTTAATAAAAAATCTAAGACATATAAACCAAATAAGATAGGGAATCCCGGATCTAAAACAAAAAAACGAGTCGGGTATAAACCATAATCATTATAGTTTTTTTTTTGGTGAGAGAAAAAATAATTATGATTTGGATGTGATATTTTATCTTATTAACTTACTTAGCCTATTTTGGCTTATCTAGGTTAAAAGTCAACTTTTTGTTTGACTTTTTTAGATCATATCACTTCTCTACTTTTTTATACATTTTTTTAATAAAAAAAAAAACAAGAAAACTGACTCTTGTGCTTTTTTAGTCCCAATTGGAATAGTCAAATGAAACCTTTATAAACTAATCGGGTAAATTACACTTACACCCCTAAGATTTGAGTTTAATACATATCACCTCCTGATGTTTAGAAAATTACACTAATCTCTGTCATTATAATTATTTAAACAGAATGAACACATTGAACTCATGCGTTCTCTCTTTTCTTACTTTGCTTTACTTTCTCTCTCTTTTTTTTTTCCTTTCCATTGCTTTACTTACTTTTTTTTCAATGTAATTTTATATATTTTTTTGCTAAGAGTTGCTACCTTTTATATGAGTAAGAGTTTGTGAAATTTGACTATTAATCTCAGGGGTAAAAATATAATTTTCAAAGAAAAATAGTTGAGAGCACTAAAAGTGGTGCTCTAATAGCACTACCAATGATGTGACAGTGAGCTCGGCACACTGCTTATGCCTTACTTTTTTTTTTGGTATGAATTATTGTTGAATTTTCAAAATGGGTAGAGATGTAATATAATTGGACCAAATCTCAGAGTGTGAGTGTAATTTATCCTCTTTTTTTTTTAATGGTAATGTCATTATTTTTGGTGGGTCCTTCTTGTTGGTAGGGCTAAGACGCTGGTAAAGTAGCACCCATGTGGGTTGTCAATTTTAATAGCTGTTCACTAAAAGCTTCACATGTCAAGTTGGGTTCCACATTTTATACTTAAATCTGTTTCATTCCCTTGTTTTGTTATAATGTTTTCTGCCTAAAATGCAATCAACGTCACTAAAATAAAAATTGTGACCCATCAAAAATAGGAAAGCATCATGACTCGACAAGAAAAGTGTACAGTTATCCCCCGATGTGTAGTTGTGCTTTCATTTTCTTTGTTTTGTTTTTTTTTGTAACATGTAGTTCAAAAGCACCTGTTGGTTTCATATTATTTTCATTTTGTATGAAATTAGTTCTCAAATTTTAAAAACTCTTCTTTTTTCCATTTTCTTTTTCAATTTCCAAAAAATTGGGTTGCTTTTAAATTTTTTTTAAAAAATCTATGGCTTTTGGACTCTCTAATTTGTGCATTACACTATTGGCATTTCCTTGTGGGAACAGTTGAAATTTATAAAAAAAAATTGATCCTAGATATTTTTAAACTTCGGCTTTATCTCGCTTAATTATAACCAAAACAATTTACAAAATTTTAACAATACTCTATTGTTGATTATTACCTTTTACTTGTGTACTTGAAAGTTGAAAGTAACCATTAAAGTGAGCTTTAACAATCATTTATACTTGCACAAATTGTGGGTTTTAAGCAAAACAATTATGGGTTATGGTAGTCATCTCATCATGAACTGGTCGTGTGTTTTATTATGGTTATTAGTCGTAAAATTTGATCATCTAGCTGTTAATGTGCGAAAAATATTATGATCTTTTTTTATGCATTCTTGGTTGTATGTTGTAACTAACATACAAGTTTTTTTAATTAAGTCTACAAACTTGTCTTAATGATAGCATGCCTAATTTTGGTCAAATTAATAATATCAAAACCCCCACAACTGCCTTACACAACTACCATGCAGTCCCCTCCATGTGCTCATAGATTATGTTATGTTTTCTATTATGTGTTGATATTCCTGTTTGACCTTTTCCGGTTTTCACTTGGTTTTTTTTGTTTGTTTGTTGTGGGGGGGGGGGGTTGTAATGTATTTGTTGTGTTCTTGATGTGTTTTGTTTTGTTTTTTTGAAAAACCAGATACCTCCCATCGGATTTCACTGTCAACAATAATAGAGGATGGATGAGAACATTTTCTGGTGAAAGAGAGAAACCGGGAAAGGAGCGAAAGGGATGGATGATAATAATCCATGACCTCTCTGGCTCTCCGGTTGCATCTGCCTCTATGATCACTCCCTTTGTGCCTTCCCCAGGGTCTGATCGAGTCTCTCGATCAAACCCTGGTGCATGGCTCATTCTTCGTCCCCATGGATTCTCTTTTAGTAGCTGGAAGCCTTGGGGCCGCTTGGAGGCTTGGCGAGAGAGAGGACCTATTGATGGCCTTGGTTACAAATTTGAACTTGTTACAGACACCGGTTTGGCTAGTGGGATTCCTATTGCTCAAGGCACAATGAGTGTGAAAAAGGGAGGACAATTTTGCATCGATAGTAGATTGAAAGATTCTGCGCTGAGTTCATTGTCGCCAGTTCGAGGATTTGTGATGGGTTCAAGTGTGGAAGGCGAAGGAAAGGCAAGCAAACCTATGGTCCAAGTAGGGTTGCAACATGTAACTTGCATGGCAGATGCCGCCCTATTCATGGCACTTTCAGCCGCCATTGATCTTAGTATGGATGCTTGTCAACTTTTCTCTCAAAAGCTTAAGAAGGAGTTTTGCCATGATGAACAATTCTGCTTCTCTTAAACCCTTGTTGCAAACTCTCCCTTCCAAAGAGCGGTTTAGCCCAACAGTAGGATTTGTCATCAGCATCCCTGGTGGCATGAGCTCAAGTCATGAAAACAGTCTCTCCAGAATTAAAAGTAATGCTATGTAGATCCTGCCCTCTCAAACTCCACCTTAACGGTAGTCTCATTTATGGGGGTTGCCCTCTCAATCTCTTCCAAATTTTCTCTTCATATGCAGTGATAACCAATGAGTTTTTGGTTCGAGCATTGAAGATATTTCCATCTTTTTCCCAAACTATTTCATCCAATTTTTTCCCACCACACAAAAATATATAATTTTTTCCCCAAATGAGAGCTTGCCCTATGATTTGGTGTGTGAATTTAATCTTGTTAATTAGGTGCCTTTTTTTTTTTTTTTTTTTTTTTGGGGGGGGGGGGGGGGGGGGCTTACTTCTTGTTTTTGCTGATTTTTATGTTTTGGTCTGTTTGGGTTCTCTGATTAAGGAGTCTTGGTTCAAGGTTGTTCATGTGTAAATTTATAAAATACTGATTGAAACTGTACAGAGACAAAAATGTGCAATTGTTTGCTGATATTATATTTATCAAGTTCTTGTATTATTTTATATCACTTTTCCTTATCGACTTCTATGTTTTTTCGTTGAATTGTTGAATCAAATTGCATCTCATCTTTCGAGCTTATTAATAAATTTGATTCGAACGCAAAAAATGAAAATAAGTCTAAAAATATGTTTAAATTTGACTTGTTAGTATTATAAGATAATCTTAAAAGATTACCATGCAAATATGCAATACATGGTATATTCTGTAAATGAGATTTTTTTTATCTGTTTTGCAAATGTGTTTTAGTCAATTTTTTTTGTTGGACATTTATTTTTGTCGACATGATAGAGTTGAAAGGTAAATTTTTTTGATAAAAAAAAGAAAGAAAAAGAAATACTAAAGTAAAATTAGTCCCAAAAAGCCTAGAAAAAGTTCACTTTTTATTTTATTTTTTTGGTTTGGACTTTTCTCACAAATGGTTGCATGTTTTAAAAGAAATTTAGGGCCTTCTAGTTTATAGTAGGAATTAAAATATTTCTAAAGAAAAAGGACAATTAAAAGAAAAAGTTCAGTGAAGATTTAAAAGACAAAGAAAAAAGAAAACAATAAACCAAAAAAACAAAAAACAAAAAAAAATTAGTGTCTTTTAAGCTAAAAGTTTAAAAAAAATTAAGTTGCTATAAGTTTACTTAATTTTGATTGAATTATAACTACTTATACATAAGTACCGACGTGCACATTTATGACTTCACTATCGTTGCCACCAGTATTCCTATTTCCGCCACCACTATCACCATCACAAATGTGCCACTACCACCACTACAACCTCCTCCATCATCATTACCTTCACTACCCATTACACAACTGCCATTACTACTTTTTTTCACTACTGTTGCTAGCTACTTCTATATTACTACCACCTCAAAATTACAATATATAAATTGGAAGATAATTTATGAATATATATATATATATATATATTAATTTCATAATGTAAATATTAAATAATTTATTTTAGTTTAACACTTAATTTTTTATCAAATAATTTGTTATCTTAAACAATTTAACATTTAATTTTTAATCTTATAAAACACCACCTTAATGTGTTGACGTCTTTCGCCAAATGTATCGGGCCACAAACCAAGTCAAAGCCCATAACAATATTTCGGGCTCAACTGGGCCACACAAAAATTACAAGTTCAAATGGGCCACACAAAAATATGGGCCAAGAGGAGGGCCACAACAACTAAAAGGGCGATGTCTCACAATCAAGGAAACAAGGCGCATGGGCCTAAGACTTAAAGGGCCAATCAATCAGCCAGCAAAGTCCATGACCTAAAAGCTTGGGACCAACCAACAAAACTCAACCCATAAGCCCATAGGGCATGAGGTGAACCAATAAATATCAAGGAAGCCTTGAATGGAACCAACGACTGAGAGCATCTCCAACGGTGAACTTTTTTTTTCACTAAATCTAAGTAAAAAATTACTCATTTCACCAAATCTGATATCACTAGCTCCAATGGTGCATCAAATCCCGTGGGGCAACCGGTAGGTTAACTGGTGGGTCGACCGGTAAGTGTAAATTTTTTTTTTTTTTTATACCCTTTTGAACTGTTTGAACCCACTTTTGTGAACCGGGGAAAGGGGCGACCGGTTGGTCGACCAGCGGGTCGACCGGTCCGCCAATTTTTTTTTTCTTTCTTTTTGTTTCATAATTATGAAAGAAATGATACCGGCAAATCAAGGTCAATTCACGGGTCGGTCATTACTGTTTGGGGCACTCTTAACAAAAATTTTCAAACATTTTAAGGTTCACCTTATAGATGAAGTGGATATCAAAATCTGTTCACCAATTAATCAGTATACAGTGACCCGTGCTGGTGCAGCCTCTAATTTAATGGGAAGTGTTAATGCTCCAGAAGATTCAGAAGATGAAGTTCCAGAAGATGATGCTCCAGAAGATCCTCATGCCTATGTGATGCCATCAATTGAACAACCTCAATATTGGACTGAGTTTTTGGCCATGGAAGAACAACGTTATAATCAACGCGTTCAATGGGAACATCAAATGGCTAATCAGGTCAATTCGTTGGATACTCAGTTTGATACATTTGCCACTGCACATAACTCATTAATTCAACAATTTGGTGATTTCCGTGTGGACATTGAGGATCGCGTAGATACGATTGAGTATCGCGTAAATGACATATACCATCACTACTACCCTTCTCCACCACCACCACCAGATAATGACTATTGATGTGTTTCACATTATATATTTGTATTGTTTTGTATTTTGTTATTTTAACAACCTTTTGTTGGGTCAATTTGTTAAAGAGGACGACATTAATTAAAACCTATTCAGTTATAACCATTGGCCTATGCAGTTATTATCATTTTATATTGTAGTTTTTCATTTTAATGCCTAGTTAACAAAGGACATGATTATGTACATCCTGAAAATGCTACAAAAAGGTCATTATCCAGTTATGATTCCTCTGGTACAAATCATGTTATAGTAGTCAATGACTTCACTTTAAATATCATTTTAAAGAAGATGAGGGTTAAATTTATATCACCCTTCAAATTATTCATAATCCACAAATTAACCTATGTCCAAATAAACCAGCTCAAACAAGTTGAAACCAACCAGTTCAAACCTGTTCTTGCTAGTTGTGCACTGTAGCCGAATTGCCCAACCCGATTGACCAGTTGGTCAACCGGCTAGTCAACCGGGTGGTTGACCGGTTGCTCTCCAACGGTCACGTGAGGCAGCAGTTCAAACAAACCAGTTCAAACTAACCAGTTGAGGATTCAAACGAACTAGTGGCTTAAATGGTGCACCGGTTCCTCCCTCCAACGGTCACACACAGCGTTTTGGTGAAATCTATATGTTGTTCTTAGTTTGATGAATTGTTAGGTGAAATCTCAATTTGATATCGATTTGGTGCAACCGTTGGAGCACCAAACAATAACTTTTTCATCAAAATTTAAATTTGATGTCAACTTTGGTGAATCGTTGGAGATGGTCTAAGAAGTCAGTTCCCCAAGCTTAGCATCAATAGCTCTGTTTGGTGTAATTTATTAAGAGTTAATAATTAATAATTAGAAAAGAAAAGTTAAAAACACGTATTTTTTTAATTTTTAGATAATTATTATTTTTTAAGTTATTTAAACTATTTTACTTAATATAAACAGAAATTGCACCAAATAATTAGACACAAACTCTCAAAATAAAAAATAGGGTGAATTATACCAACGGTCCCTATATTTTGAGACTTGCATCATTTTAGTCTTTGATTTTTCAATTGTGACACATTTGACTTTGAATTTTAAATCTTATCCCAAATAAGGATAATTGAAGATATCATTGGATTTTTCAAGGACAAAATTGTCAATTTGATAAAAAATAAACTAATTTGATAAAAATAAATGTCAAAAAAATATTTTTGAATTTTTAAAAATTATTTCTACCCACTAAAGATAAAATTATGTAAAATTGATAAATCTTTTAGGCATTTTTTTTTTAATACCAAATTTTATTATGTGTTTGGATGATAATCATGTAATGGGTAGTTGTTTTTGTTAAGGGTGAGTAGCGGATATTTCGATCCGACCAAACCAAACCGAACCGATCTGCCGCATTTTGAACGAATGCGTGATGACGAGCAGATGGTTGCGAATTGATTTTTTGTAATTTTGGACGGATGACAAATTTGAGGTTCTTTTGGCCGCAACCAAACCGCCATATTGCTAGCACCCCTAGTAATTTGTAAGACTTTGTATTTTCAATTTATTTAGATATTCTGTTTGTGTTTTCAATTGAAAAAGAGTTTAGATATTTTGTTATATTTTCAGTTTGAAAATCCTTTTATCAAATGGTAAGGGTTGATATTTGGTATTTTTGTGTGGAAAATATAGAGCTTAATTTTGTCATTTTTTTTTTAAAAATCAAATTAAATAGTTTTTGAATAAAAAAAATTAATGAAATAGTTTTGATAATGCATGATTTTCTTATATGTATTTATTATTAGTATTTGGCAGTTTACTGAACAATCTTTTTTGTTATGTTGAGTTAGATTATTATCCAAAAAAAATGTTGATAAATTATTGTATTATGTTCAAAATTTGAAAAAGTTTAAACCGCCAAACCGATTCGCATCCATCGGTTAATCCACTCAATCTGCATCCGTCAATTCGACAGATAGATGGCGGATTAAAGATTCCTTGACCGCAATCGAACCATGAACACCCCTCGTTTTGTTTTCATTAAATTAGTTTCTATTTTTCTCAAAAGTTAAATATGGCGACAACCTGTAGACGTCCCCGAACGTGCCGGGAGGGAATCCCATTTTCTTCATTTGGGCTCACCACAGTTCGGACTCAAATAGTCACGGTTCTGAATCTAGTCTCGCAGTGTGCAATGCAAGACTGATAAATCACCAAAGAGTCCAAATCCGACAAATCGTTTTGAAAAATAGATTTTTAGAAAGAAATGCCAAACATGGACTGCTTTGCCAGATACAGAGTTGAGTCGCCACCTAAATATTTTTTATTTTGGGAAATTTAGGAAACCCTGACTCATTGCCTAAGGCCACGTGTCCGTCATCACCAAAGTTGCCTCCGCTCGGGAACTTAGGTACGATTGGGGAAGGTCAGCTATCAGCACCCCCGCTCGCCCAATCAAAGATCGGCCACTACTAAACATGATATCTTATTTTGAAAACATTATGCATTCTTATTCCGGTTAATTAGCTAGAATTACTATGTGATGCGCACAGCAAAACAAGTATAGAATATGTCGCCTAATTTGGAGCAAAACATCGCATATCCGTGTGTATTGAAAATGGATTGAAATTTGCTACTCA